CACTGGCCCACCCGTGTCCACGGCATCGAGAGCCAAGGGGTGGGAACGCTCCGAGCGTCCATCGACAGAGGAAGGACAAACGTGCAGTGCAAGATGATTCAGCCTTCAAAACAAGGGCAGTGCTGACCCCCGCTACGCCCGGGACGCAACTTGAGGACATTTGTGCTGCGTGATGAAAGGCGCCGGCCGCCCAAGGACAGATACGGGATGATCCCACGTGTGTGAGGCGCCCGGAGGAGTCGCGTCCACAGAGACGGCAAGGGGGGGTGGTGGGCCCCGGGGGCTGGGGGAGGGGACCGGGGGGGGGGGTCAGTGTTTCAGGGGCACGGAGTCTCCGATCAGGAGGGTGAGAAAGCCCTGGAGGTCGACGGAGGTGGCGCTGCACAGACACGTGAGCTCACCGCTCACCGCCGAGGACCCCGCTTCGTATCTACACGGTGATATCTACATATCTACACGATGGTAAACGTCTGAGCCGCACAGGGATGGAAAAGGAGCCCCCACGACGCGCAGGGCTTGTGGCCTAGAGCTTTGCCGAGCGTCCTAGGAGGCTGGCAGGAAACTGAGCTGTAAAGAGGGACCCGAGAGTCGATCTTTGATCAAGAACTGGGGAGGGAGGCGGCAGATAAGATATGGTGGGAAGGGCTTGGAGCAGGGGGAGGCAGGGAGGGGGGCGGGGGTTCTCCGCAGCCTCCAGACGAGGGGAGTGAGGGGCCGTGGGCCTCCCAACTGTCACCAAGCCCACCCTGGAGGGACCGCCTCCCTCCTGGGCCCGTCCTGGGCCAGAGAGGGAAGTCCCGCAAAGTGTGAGGGGGCAGCCCGCTAGCTCCCCTGAGCGACCGTCCCGGAAAGAGGGCCCCGCCACGCAGGGGGGCAGGAAGGGGACACGTGCCGGCGATGGGGGCTCGCTGCTTTCCAGGCATCGCCCCCAAGCCTGGGACGCCCCTCTAAGACCCGAGTGCCCCCTCTGTAAGACGAGGCTGAGACCATGGATGCAGTCCCCCACAATGCATTGCTTCTAGATAATTTAAAAACAGTAATAAAACCCGCTCGGTCTGCTTCTTTTCTTTTTTTAAGTTTATTTATTAATTTGAGAGAGAGAGGATCCCAAGTAAGCTCTGCCCTGTCAACGCAGAGCCTGATGCGGGGCTCGACCCCTGAGATCGTGAGCTGAGCCCAAATCAAGAGTTGGATGCTTAACCAACTGAGCCACCCAGGAGCCCCAAGCTTTTTCTTTTCTTTTCTTTTTTTTAGAGAGACAGAGAGCATGTGCAAGCAGGGGAGGAGCAGGAAGAGAGAGAGAGAGAGAGAGAGAGAGAGAGAATCTTAAGTAGGTTCCATGCTCAACACAAAGCCAACACAGGGCTCGATCCCACGACCCCGGGATCATGACCTGAGCTGAAATCAAGAGTCGGACGCTCAAGCAACTGAGCCGCCCAGGCGTCCCTTCAGTCTGCTTATTATCACGGCGCAACAGTAACTCTAAGAAAGTCAGTGATAAAATATTGCCCCTGAAAAAAAAAAAACCCTTTAAGTTTTCTAAACCAGGAATTGTCAAACGACAAGCCGAATCTGACCCCCAGCCTGTTTTTGTAAATGAAGTTTTATTGGAACACAGCCAAGCCCATTCACTACATGTCATTGACCGCTGTTGTCTTGCCTCAATGGCAGAGTTGAGTTGTGACAGAAACCCTATGGCCCCAAAAGCCTGCAATATTTACCTTCTGGTCCTTTGCAGAAAAAAGCTTACCAATTCCCATGCTGAACAATTGCTACCTTGCTGCTGAGTTTTAGTAATATCTGCGGAAGCTTCAAATTCGCATCCTTGGGTTACTTGCCCTTTACTTCTTTGTTTAAATTTATTTTGGGGAGAGAGAGAGAGACAGAGCACATGCAGAGAGAGAGGGAGACACAGAATCCGCATCAGGCTCCCGGCTCCGAGCCGTCAGCACAGAGCCCGACGCGGGGCTCGAACTCGTGAACCGTGCGATCATGACCAGAGCCAAAGTCGGACACTTAACTGACTGAGCCACCCGGGAGCCCCAATTTGCCCTTTAATAAGTACGGTATTCTATACAGAATTTAGTCCAGAGAACTTCAGATGCCACACACACACACACACACACACACAATATTTTAATAAACATCTTTAAAATAGAAATGTATTCTTCTTTCTGTTTGTCTAAAACTAAAAAAGGAAGGTACCTGGCTGGCTCAGTCTGTGGAGCATGCAACTCTTTTTTTCTTTTCCAAATTTTTCTTTACGTTCTACTTAGTTGGGGCACCTAGGTTTTGGCTCAGGCCATGATCTCATGGTTTGCGAGTTTAATCCCCGCGTCGGGCTCTGTGCTGACGGCTCGGAGCCTGGAGCCTGTTTCGGATTCTGTGTCTCCTTCTCTCTCTGCCCCTCCCCTGCTTGCGTTCTCTCTCTCTCTCTGTCTCTAAAATAAACATTAAAATTTTTTCAATTAAATCTTTAAAAAAAAGAAAGAAACTAAAGAAGGAATCCGGAAAATAATTATTCTTACTGAAAATAATTGTCGTTTAAAGGGTGGGGTGTTAAAAAATGGTGCACTCGGGGCAATTGCTGACACGATCTTTGTGACAATGAAATGGAACATTAAACTTGCGTGTGACAGGCACCATTGGCCGCCTTCCCCAAACTCCTCTCCACCCCCCTCTCTGCTGAATGCAGAGTGCCCACCTTCTTCCGGGTGGCCGCGAGGCCCAAAAAGGGGGACCCCACGCCCCCCTAGGAGGGGATCCCGATTGTGCCGAGCCAGTCTGGAGAACACTATTCGCCTCGCTATGACTGGCTTAGAGACAAGACGGACACATGACCAAATTCTGGCCAATGAGACAAGAGGGTGGCGGGTGTTATCCCGTCTGGGTGGGACAGACGTCTGGGTGGGTGACCGTCATCTTGCCGTGTAGCAAATGCCGGAGCAGGGAGATGGCAAGAGCCTGGGTCCTCAGCGATACCCGTCCTTGGCCACTGAGACTGAGAACCCCAAAGCGGCCCCGTCACAGGACTCTCCCCCTCCGGAAATAATAAATGCCTTGATTGTCCAACTGTTTGGGTTGGTGCTTTCTAGTAGCAAAAAGCCAAAAGCATCTCAATGGATACAGATATGAAACCCTCCGGCAAGCAGCCAGCAGCCACAATCAACAGCGTTATTGATTGATTCGTTCGGGGAATGCTCACTGAGTGCCATCTATGTGGCAGAACAGTCCGGGGCACCGGAGAGCTCATGGGAGAGGTCCTTCCTCTCCTCAAGACGCATTCCAGCGGGTGGGGCAGACACAAAAGCAAGCCCACGAATGAGCAAACAGCATCATTTCGGACAACGCTAAAGGCTGAGAAAGAGACAGCATCGAGCAGTTTGATAGAGACAGTGAGGGTGGGGCTTCTCCGAGAAGGTAAGATAGGAGGAAAGAACGGCCTAGAGAAGAGCCAACCGCGTGAAGACCCAGGGAAAGGGTTCCAGGCAAGCGAGCACAGCAGGTGCAAAGGCCCTGAGGTGAGAGTGAACTTCGTGTGTCCAAGGACGTGAAATGCGCAACGTGAGGGTGGCGTGGTTGTGGTAGCAGCTTTCGGGGAAGTATCTGGAAGTGCACAAAAGGCCCGCAGTCCAAGTCTCCCTCTGCCCCCTCCTTCTCTCTCTCTCTCTCTCTCCCTCTCCCTCTCTCTCCCCCTGTCCCTCCTTCTTAGGGCTTTTGTTCCCAGGTCCAAAGCGTATGAGCGCCGGTTTGTTACACTCTGGGCTGAGTTTTCAGGCTTCTCTTTTTAACTCAAGAGAACCACTTAACCTCTCACCGTCGGGGGCGGGGCCTGACCCCACACCGGCTTGTTAAACGATCGCCAAGTTTTCGTGCTTCGGCCTGACTGAACAGCTCATTTGCACCCAGCCCCCGTCTGTTTGTCTGTCTCGCTCTCTGTCCTGCCGGAGCAACATTTTCTGCCCCGCCCAGAAAAGGGCAGCAGCCTGCCCTCCTCTGCCC